ACATTTAACTAATGCATGTACTACAATATGTTACACACTATAAGGTTACTTTAAACTACTACATTTAACTAATGCATGTACTACAATATATTACACACTATAAGGTTACTTTAAATTGATACATTTAACTAATGCATGTACTACAATATGTTACACACTATAAGGTTACTTTAAATCGATACATTTAACTAATGCATGTACTACAATATGTTACACACTACAAGGTTACTTTAAATTGATACATTTAACTAATGCATGTACTACAATATGTCACACACTATAAGGTTACTTTAAATTGCTACATCAAATAGAACATCTTTAGCCTGACAACGACATGATTGATATTCACACTCATTCTAGTAACACAGATGTACTACACAAACATCAATTTAATGAAAATAAACTTCTTAACAGAGACTATAATTGTCCATACATCTCAATATGATTAATCAAACCAATGGAAGACAAACAAAAAATGGTAATTATGAGATACTAATCATCACTTCTCAATGTAACAAACAGCTAAGTAAAACAGTAACATGCTACTTCACATTTTCTATATTTTATGTAAATTTCTTATGACTGACTGATAACATTACAGTTGTCAAACTATGCATATCACAGACTTTTACTGTTATTTTCAAAATTTAATTAAACAACTTTATTATCAATGGTCTGGGTATGTTTTAATTTCTTAATTTCAAAAGGAAATATTTAAACAAATTCTCAATCTGCAATTCTCAATGGTGCCGTGATTTCTCATTTAAAAATTTTTTCTCTTCCTTTATAAGTGCTTCAGATTGTTCAACCAATCAGAAACATGTACTACAGATACTGATAAGTAAGAATATAAATTTTTAATCCCATATTTTACTGTACTGATATACCACTATATCTGATCAACCACACTGACATGACCCTCTGTCTTTTAAATAAATGTCAATAATGTACATTTAGCACATAGAGAGTTATAGTATGTATAGTTTGATAGTTAAAAGGTTCCTCTAAAATGACCATTTCTAAATTAAATAACTAAGAGGTTTATTTATGGCATATTTTAAACCTCATCTGTTAGAACAAAACTTACGTCTGGGGTGCTGTTGGATCATCACCAAGTACTACAGAATCCCCTTTAATTTCACTAAAACATCGTTGACAATAGGTATACCTGTTAAAATAATTGTAAATGGTCATTGAAATTTTGAGAAATTCTATACAGAAGAGTACCTCGTGTAAGAAATGCAACTAACAACAAAACAGTATAGAGTTTATACAATTATCTTGTCTTCATAAATGTGGATAAAAAATTATAAGCGATTTTGTACAAAATCTTTTAAAAATATTAAATACGTTATTCCTTAAAATAACTTCAATGAAAATATAATTCATGATTTAATATTTATGATACAAATGATGATAATTAAAAGGCCAATGTCATAAAAAAGGGTGATTTTTTTTTTAAAGACAGAACCAAAAGAGTTGAGGAAGCATACTTTACTTACTAGATAGAGTTCCACAAGTGGAATTTAATCATCAAAACTTTGCACGGTTAACTCCAAACAAATCTGGAAATTCTTTTACAGTTAAATAAAAAAACTAAGCCATATTTTACTTTTCCTGTGATCCATTAAAAGACACTAAGAACTTGCAAAGGTTGCTACACCAGGGTAGGAAGAGGAATATGGCTACTGATCACAATACCAAAACAATTATGTAGTTGAGATATCAGAAAAAAAACCAACCTGTTTTGGTAACTCCAATATTTCATATCTCTAGGTATAGTACAAAGCTGTTTGCCGTAACAACACAGAACTTGAGGTTGAAAGATGTACTTCCTCCCGCAACAGTAACCAAGAGATTGCATCACTGGGTCTATCTCTTGTTCAAAAACTTCTGCCAGCTAATCAATGGTACATAGAGACAATTTTACATTTAAAAAAATCTTTGGTTCAACCTAATTTACATATCATTACATGTGGCTCACTAACATAAGCTATTATTTTCTCTAACAGCATGCAACGACAAATTCGATATTTAATATTTTCTATAGCAATTAATATGACAGCTACCATTTAAATTCATTATTTCTTTAATATTTTTCAAAACCCACAATGCAACAGTTATCAATAAATTTAAACTTTTAAATATTTTCCAAAACCATAAATGCAAAAACCTCCAGCCAAATTAATTTCACATTCTTGAGGCACAAAAAACAAACTTCTTTAAAGTTTTGATAATTATTTCATTTTATGTGAAGAAAGTTCTTTCTACATTACAAAAAAAAAACCTTCTGCTAGTTTCGCATAAATCTAATAATGATATGTTGATTTGTAAGTCAAACACTAAAAATATACATACACATAAATATTTGAATAACAGGTTCGTAAAGAAGTCAAGCAAAGTTCTACCTTGTTACAGTATCGATAAACACGGGAAGTTTTTCTATTGTACAACCAGGCATTATCAAACATGAGCCATATATCGTCCACATACTGCCAGGGATCTTGATACTGTCCAGTATCTAGTTTCCGTTTAATAGTAGATAAATCCATTGGTTTCTGAATGATGTCCAAGTAATCCTACATAAGGACAGAATGTATACATAAAGAAAGAACACATTTGTGTTTAGTATTATCACAATGTTAACAATTTCCATACCACTTTGTTTAGGTTAATGATAATGGTGTAACCTAAAGACTGTCAACTTACCGATTGAAAAAAATGTATTTAAACACAAAGAAAAATGAAATTAAAGGGCACACATGTAAACCAAAAATTACAAACATGTTTATTTCAACACTGGTCAAATACCATCAAAAATATAGGTTGGATTGAAATATATACACGGCATAATAAGCACTTCAAAAAGCTCTATCAAAAGGTAGGTACAAGTATCAACACATGAACATACCTTACAAAATATTTGTAAATAGATTTGTTAGATTCCATTAAAATGTGTTCACAGAAAAGTAACACTATCAATTGAAGGTTTAAAAAATGATAAAACACTATAACCAAAACACTTTTGAAAGGTGGACTTTTCTTCTTCATGGGCAAACTGAAGAAGAAGGGTTCACCTTTCAGAAACACTTGGGTTATAGTTTTTATCATTTTATATTAAGACTATGTGTTTTTCTAATGTCATGTTAAGATATTAAAACAAAACAACATTCGACAGCTGTACAACATTATATCAAACTTCTCTACATAAACTCTAGTTCACAATTGACTTGTAACATACTGGAATTTGCAGAAGATGTGGATCCACAGGCTGTCTAAATGGTAAGGATTCAGGATCCTGTTTGTACAACTTTTCTAGCGTAGGCATCAATGCTTGACGTAATTCATCAGGCATAAAAACTGAAAGATTGAAAATATGTAGATACAAGAATACCAACTTTTAGAACTCGTGAATACAGTTCACATAAACTAGCTTATACTGTAATGCACAAAAAGAGAAATTTCATAACAAAACATTCCATTAACATAAAATGGCTGGAAATATCAAAAGTAAATTTAATTATGTACACCAGTTCTCAAATAAGGCAAGAAAACATTCATTTCTGAAAAATTTTTGCAAGTATTATTACCTTCCACCCTACAGGAAGGAGAAATTTAAGATCCAAATCTTTACTAAATTTCTAAGTATAAAAGCTATATATAAAAAATTACAATGGTTCACTTGAAGAAACTGTATGTTTTTATACACAAGTATTCAATAAACCTGCCAAATTAAGAACTTACTTATTTTCATAGACTCAAATGAGAGGTGGCAGCCAAGTACTTTGAGAATTTCAACTGCACTTTTAATAATTTACAAAATAAAATAAAAATGTTATATATAAGTGATACATATTTAAAACATAAAGATACATTAACTTTTAACTTATAAGTCCCAGTAACTGTACCAGTTGGTTGAATAGTTCTGCTACCGTACCACACTCGAAAATATACAAATAAAGTTATTCATAGATTTTCTAATAAAGCACTTCTAGTGTTAATTTTATCACTAATTTCAGGAAGAAATGTTAAACATATGTTTTTGCAACATTTCTTATATGTGTGAACTGTAAGATGTATATATAGGATTATCTGTCAACTAGTTTATGGTCCCAAAGATTTAGATCTTATAATTCTAGAAGAGAATTTTACTTTCCCAAAAGTCATTCCAAGCTTTTGGACTTTGTAACCTTGATAGAAGATGATATACAATCTTTTTTCCAGCCATACACTTTAGTATGCTGTATTCCATTTATTACAACATGATGTAATACCTGGTTTGTAATGTCCTATTCATGTTTTTAAACCAATATATCTTTTTTCAAATCCTGTTATTTAATGTCAATTTAATAATGACATTAATTTAATTTAATGTCATTAGATTAAGACATTTTAGAAAAGCATGATTTTTTGTGAGTGAAAGTGACTAAATTGGACTGTTAAGGTTGTAGATCAATTTTCTCACCTTTTTTGTTGGGTTTTGGTTTGGGAGGTGGCTGGTATGTTTCTGGATCATCGTTTGAAGTATCTGGTTGTTCTCCACTGGACACTGGAGTTGATGGTTCTTCTTTAACAGTTGCAGAACACTCTGAACTAACATATCCTGAAGTATTGCTATCATCGACAGTTTCAGGTTTTACTTCTACTTTCACTTCACTCTCATATTTTGGAGTATGAACTTCCATTTTTACTTCTGTTTTACTCTCTTCTTTAATTTCAAAAGTGTCTATTTCCATTTTTATCTCTGTAGTAGCAGTAAAAGGAGTCTTCCCAATGGAAGCAGTTACTTCAACTCCTGAGGATGGGGCACTGGTAACGGAGGGAGTGTACGTTTCAGATACTGGATTTTGTATTTTGTTACTAGAATAAGCTAAAGTACACATTATATCCTTTTGAGAAGCTACTCCTTCAGAGTTACTAGTAATAGATAATCCTTGAGAAGTTGAAACTTCAGAAAAAGGTGAGCTCATTTGCTGCGATTGTTGTTTCTTTTGCCAACTTTCATGAAGCTCTTGCTGGAAATTGTTGGGAGTAGGAGTGTTTCTAGTTGTTCCTGGTACTGAGGCTGCTCTTGGAGGTTGCTGGATAGGAGTTTGGTTTGACTGGGGTTGAGGGGTATATGACTGGGGAAAAGTTTGAATATAAGAAGGAGATGAGGGGATCATCTGAGGTGATAAACTTGAAAGATGATTTCCTGATACTTGACTATTTTGTGGTTGTTCTTGCATATGAATCCTACTGGCCTACAAAAACAATTTTTATTTAGATATGTTTACACCTTTAAATTATGCATTTTAAAACATAACTAATTTATAATTAACTAAAATATAAAAGTAAGATCCAAATACAATTTAAACTGTATCTATAACTATAACATATTTAGGTAAGAAACAACTGTAAATGCTATAATCGATCAAGCACCAAGAATACTACAGTCAGTTACATGTACTCCGTGATGACAACTGAGCGCCAATTTAAAAACAACAGTGTATTATGAGCTCTTTCTAATGAATATACAAATGTGCATGTAACATCTACATAAAGCTCAAATAAATCTGTTGAAAGTGGGCTTGGCGCCTGTGAGGGGTTGAAAAAATGTATTACTTGTTTCAACTACATCCATTCAAAGAACTTTGAAATGAACAAGACAAACCATGATTTTTATAGCCTTCAATTTTGTTTGCTTACAGAGCCATTAAATTAAAAATCAGACCTATCTGTCACATCCTCTCTTTCATGATTTGTTAATAGTTCTCTCTTACTCTTAATGTTATATCATGTATAATCAATAGAAAGCCAAGGTTTTCATCTGTCAAATGATGTAATATATTACGTTGTTTTCTGAACAGAGAATTGTCATTTTCTGTTAGTAAAGCTTCGTTCCCATGAGAAAGATAGCGACTAGACTGGATGAATTTGTAATGGCTCTTGTCACATAGTTAGAAAGCCAGAAAAATTGTGATAGTTTAACTTAGAGATCCCTATTTTGACATTTTAGTTACTTTTATAATAATAAATAAAGAATAAACATGAAAGACAAGAAGTAAAATACTTACCTAATCTTCTTTTTTCTTGCTGTTGATTGTTGATGACGCTTAATCCTACTTTTTTATACTAATGGTAGTAATGCACTAAATAATTTTTATTTAATTAAATAATGCACCAAAGAACATAGAATAATAACATGCAAAGTAGACAATTTCGCTTGTTAAGGTAAGATTTGGTAAAATAAATAATAATACAATAAAAATGTTTCTGTCACAATATAAAAGGCTGTCATTGATTTGTTGTGTTTTATGATCATTGTAATATTGTTTTGTTTTTGTTTAGTTTATGATGTTGTATTTTGCGTTTTGACTCGTTGCTGTTGAGAGTGTAGAGTGGGAACTGATAGTGAAGGGGTGGTGGTGAATCGATGATGGGAGACGAAAGGTATAAAGTGAGCCAGCAGAGGAGAAAGAGAGCAGATTGCAGCAAAGCTATGGACAAGGCAAGGTTCATTTCTATGCTGATGTATTTAGTTCAGAATATATATGTTGATATTGAAACAAGTGCAGTGCATGCTGTTCATTCATCGTTGCCTTTACCGTCAACAAGTCACAGACACCTACTGTAGAAGAATCCACAAAAACAAAACCTGACAGTTTATCAAGGTATGCACACATGCAAGTAGCTTGTGGGTAATGTAATTTGATAGCGTAACGTGTGTTCCAAGTGATTTACAACTTATACTGGTGCAAATGGTAGTTAGACACAGTTCAAAGGGAAATAAAACAATAAATTTAAGTATAAATAGATGTATAATGTTACGAGTTTAAAACTACTTAGGATAAACAAATTGGTTTCATGTTACAATTTGAAATCATTCTACACAGGAGGAAATGATAATTTACATTTATTTAGATTTTTCTTCTTTTGGTGGCTACAAGGTCGGTCGAATTGACCGATCCTGTTTTGAGATAGAGTAGAGAAAACAACAGATAAACTATAAAATTTTACTTAAAAAAAAAAAAAAAAAAAGAGTTTGAAATGCATTTAAGAGGTTTTAAAGATTACACCAATGGAAATCGAGATTTTTCAGATGAAGAAAAATATTTACAATGTTAATATGAAAATCACTTTGCACATGGACTAGTAAAAAAAATACTTAATATATTCATGGACAAATCTTTTTTGTAGTTTATTAAAAATACTCACAAAAAAAATGATTTTTTGTATGTGAAAAGCCAAATTTTGTGAAGATATACATACTATACTAAAAGTTAATAGTATCAAAACTATACAGACTTTAAACAAGCATAAAGAGGTCACGTGGTCAGTCAAATCAACTCAACCCATGTTGAGAGAGTTAATTAAAACTAAGCAATATTCATTTTCTTTATAAATCTGTTAAGACTATTTTTATATAAGTTTTCGGCCACCTTATGGTCAATAATACATGTGACGCAACCCACATTTATAAGAATAATGCACATGAATAGATTTCTAAAACTTATCATAACTTGGAGATAGCTTGCTAACTCTATAAATGCTTTAACCTTTTTTAAATAATTTTTTTTTATGTTTTACACTTACTGGAGAGTTAATATTGCTGTAAACTGTTGATGTCATTTGAACTTCACCAGGCTGTCCAATCAACTGGTTTCCTTGTTGCTGAGACTGCACCATCTAAAACATACAAGATTCAATATTAGGTTTTTCATGATCATTTATACAATATGAACCATAGTGGACAAGTGTTGCTTTTGTTTCCTTGTTGACAGAAACCTGGCAGTTCTTTCATAATTTTTCCTATAAGTTTTGTTATTCAACATTTTGGCAGTACAGACTAAAAAAATGCAAAATAAAAAACTGTGGTGACGAACAAGACGACAGCTGTAACAAACATTTAATTCTTGAATGCTTCAGAATACACATATTCCATCTTCAGCAAGCTATATTGAACATGGTACAGACATTTTATAAAGTTTAAACATTCAATAAAAGTAATTAAAATACAGAATAAATTAAGAGACAATCAAATAAACAGAGAATAGAATAATGCAACAATATTATATAAGTTATTAGAACAGACTTAATTATAGTGAAGCTGTGTTGTTATTTAAAATTGGGAGTTTGTTTATAATACATAAACTCTCTTTAATTAAAAGATCAATATTTGATGATCTAGATGAGATGACACTGAAATTGGTGATCAAGATGGGGTGGTTAGTGTTTTCACTATGTGTGTGAGTTATGGAGTCTGGTGGATTTGATAATTTTTTACCAGTTCTGCTTGATACTCCCATATGTTCACAGGCTCACAGGTATAACTGACATACAGTTTTGGCAATGTCAGTGGCATTACACCACCACGTGTATTTATATACGGTCCTGGAAAGCATGAGGGTAGGTAATAGGTCTTTAAATCGAAATAGATTTTGTATTTTGAATGTTGATTTAAATATCATTTGAAGCTAAACTTATGGATAAAACGTTTTAATTATTTTTAAAATTTGTGATTTCAGTATGAAACTTTGTTTACCTAAAAAAGGAACAATCAATCTTATTGGGTATTTATCAACAGTGTATGTTTTTGGGAGGTTCAAATTTGTGAGAAAGAAACTTGTGTGTTTGGGATTGAATAAAATGCATGTGATAGCCATTGTTTATTGAAATGTTTTGTAAGGTGATGATTTCGGTATGAAGGGAGAGGTAGTTAGAATAGATGTTATATGCTCTATTGAGAAGGCTTGCAATAAGGTTACATTTAAAGGAATTCGGTAAAACAATATGCAAGCCTGTATATGTTTTTTTTACGATAAACGGATGTTGTGAAGTGGTTATCTAGTCTGTTTATTTGGATATCAAGAAAAGGCAAATCACTGTTATTTTCAGTTTCACAATTAATTTTAGGGTGTATTGAATTTAAATAATCTAAAAAACTGTTTAATGTGAGTAGAGCTTCTAAAGAGTAAAAATGTATCATTAACATACCTTCTATATAAAGCCGGTTTGTATTCAGCACGACAGGTGTCTAACCAAGAACACTCATAGTGACAAAGAAATATGTTGGTAAGAGTCAGCCCTAAAGGTGACCCCATTGCCACACCATCTATTTGGTCATATAGCTGACCATTGAAGACAAAGTGGTTGACTTTGAGGGCAAGTTTAAGCAATTCTTCGAGTTGTTGCCGATTAAAGCTTGTATATGTTTCATTTTTATAGGGGAAAAGTTTAGTTAAGATTATTTGTAGTTTCTTCAAGTGGAATGTTAGTGAATAAAGATTCAATATCGAAACTAGCAAGTACGTATTGATTGGCATTATTAATTTTGGAAATTTCTTGGGCAAAGGAAAATGAATCTTTAACAGTAAACTCGTTGGAAGTGAGTGAATTTAGAATAGGAATGAAGAATTTAGCCAATTTATAGGTAAAAACAAGATTCAAAAATGCTGCTTTGTCCTCGTTCTACAACTCCAACTCCCATAAACCTGCTTCTATCATTACTCACGAAGAATATACTGCCCTAGGGAATTAGCTAATAACATAAATATCATCATCACCCAACTTGATAAAGGTAGAGGTGTTGTTATACTTAATAAACCAAATTACACCAAAAAAAATGCAAAGTATACTTAGTAATAAAACAAAATTCAAAACCCTTAATGTTTATTGGCTAAAGCTCACCATAAAACGTAAATAAAAAATACAATGAACCTTAAGAAATTATAAACATTGCAATTATATTTCAGAAAATGCTCTTGAAGACATTAACCCCTCAGGCTCTTACCCAGGTCTCATGTATGGATTGCCTAAAGTTCACAAAGACAACATTCCTTTAAGACCTATTTTATCCAGCATCGGTTCCCATACCTATAAATTGGTTAAATTCTATTCTAAATTCACTCACTTCAAACAAGTTTACTGTTAAAGATTCCTTTAGTTTCATGTTACAATTTGAAGTCACTCGAGAAAGAAAAAAGGGTAATTTAGGTTTAGTTCAATTTTTTTTTTTTGGTGGTTACAAGGTCGGTCAAATTGACCAATCCCATTTTGAGATAGGGTAGAGAAAATAACAGATAAACTATAAAGTTTTACTGAAAAAAACATTTGAAATTCATTTTAGGTTTTAGGGATTACAAAAAGGAAATTTGAGATTTTTGAGATGAGGAAAAGTATTTTTAATTTTAACATGAAAATTACTTTGCTCACAGACTATTGAAAACAAACACTCAATATATTAATGGATAAATCTTTATTTTATTTTATTAAAAATACTTCTTTAAAAATATCATTTTTTGTATGTGAAAGACTGCCAAATTTTGTGAAAATATATATACTATATTGAAAGTTAGAAGTATTAAATCTATAAAGACTTTAATCAAGTACAAAGAGGTCATGTGGTCAGTCAAATTGACCGAGCCCGTGTTGAGAGAGAGTTAACAAAATGATGAATTAATCCACTCTTCAAAAATATACGTTATTTATCTTTCAGCACACAGTAAATATCATTAATCTAAAAATTCTTTTCAAATTTAAGAAACTACCATAAATGTTACAAGTTTTTATGCATAACTAAGTAAATAACTTTAACAGGTTGACTAATTTAATGTTTATATTTTACATAAGAAAATACTATAATTTTATGTAACATGAGAACATAAAAAAAGTCTTCAAAGATTAATAAAAAAATAACTTTCTAAAGTATTATATTTAACTAAGTTTCTTGCACACTGATACAGATGAAATGATGTTCACACTGTTTTATCCAAAATCCTTAAGTATTCCAGAAATAAACCACAGTTAAAAGTTATATAAAGAACAACCAATGTAAATATTTTTCAACTATCTATTCTGTTCATACATAACCTTAATGTATAGAAGAAGATAACTTTACCATAATCTGCCTTACTTTCATAGTATCATTCAGCCGAGAGTAGCCTTCCTGAAATCCTGAGTTGGAAGTTCCTCTAAGTGAGACAGGACCGGTATTCACGACACTTACTGGGTGGCTCACATAATTAAAATAGGAGTGTTGTGGACTAACAGATATCACTGGCTGCATACTTGAGTTTGACATTTGGAAATGAGACTGATTACTACTCACTCCTGTTGAGCTAAGTACCTGGTTATTGCCGACATTAGAAAAGAATTCGTTCCTTGGTCCAGGGATGGTTATATTTGGTGGGGGCATCTTCTGCTGAGAAGTAAGTAATGATGGTGATAGATCTGTAAATATGAACAAAACACTTCAGCTTTCTGCCAATTTTGATATACCTACCAGTAGGATTTTCTTGTCTGATTTACTAATCAGTTACTATAAAATAATTCCAGATATTGCACACTATTCTTTGGTGTAGCCTATTTTCAAAAGTTAGGCATTAACAATGGTTAATGCAACACAACAACTTATGACTAAAGTGCTTGTATTTTAATTTAGGTTTTTATCATAAAGTAAAGTATCATGAAAGAACCACACGTATACGTAATGGGTATAACGTTATCTGGCTACCAATTTTAGTTGTCATGCTATTCAGTTACTATGTAGGTAATGACATTACTGATTCTAGTTGTAATATTATCCAATTACACATATCATTGTAAACATACCCAGTTACATAAGTTATGACATTATCCAATTACAGAAAAAGTGATGTAATCCAGTTAATCATACTGATGTGATATTGTTTAGTTATAATGCAACCCAGTTATTCACACTGTTATGTAACTATATGTAACCCAGTTATTCACACTGTTCTTGCCTAACTTTAATGTAACACAGTTACGTTGTGGTTGTCTAGTGTATAGTAGTATCTCAGCAAAGAGAGGTTGAAACTTTATATTCTGACTTGTTAATATTGGTTGAACCATTTGAAGCCATTGAGGGAAGAGAAAAAATATATAAAGAAAATGTCACAGCACCACCAAGTCATGAGACTCTGAGAGATGCAGGTTGAGAACTTATTTAAATATTTTTTAAAATAAAAAAATTAAAACTTAAATAATATAAACATTTAAATTATAAACTAAATTTTGAATGTAACTCAATAAAAACATCATGATATGAACACTTTCACCCACCAGTATACATAGTTTTAACTCTTTCCAGACGGGTCACAGGCCGTGTCATTGCATTTGTTGACTCAATTCAAAACTTTATTGAACTACTATTTCATGAATTTATGTTAAAGTTTGGTATCAAACTGTAGATTATAATTCAAATTTTAGTATTATACAGTATTTAATTTCTTCATTTAAAAATAAATATTAAAAAGAACACAATTACACATCAATTTTTGTGTGTCACCTGTTATGTTGAATGCAGCACTGGTTC